TTCGACAATGGAGAGGCCGCGGTCGCTGCCGTCGAGGCGCGGCGTCGCGAGTCAAGGCGCTCGGGGGCCCACATGGCCTGAGGCTCGACGGCGTGGATGCCGTGGCCAGAGCAACACCGCGCGACGTTGACGGGCCGACCATCGGCGCCGTCGCGGCCAAAACCGGTTGGGTCGACGACGTCGAGAGCCTCTTGCGGGAAGTGGCGCCGTTCGCGGGCGCGCTGCCCGCGTCTGGCGTCACCGAACATCGCGCGACGCGCGAGAAGCGCGAGTCCGTCGGCGATTTGTTGGGCCGCGCGGGAGCGCCGAATGCAACGATGATTGCAGGCCTTAGCGACGACGATCACGCTGCCGAGTGGCGCGCCAGGGCAAGGGCAGACGCCGAACCGGGCGGATGGCAAGGCCAGCGCCAGGCGACGGCCTGGCACGATTCGAATAGTACATAGTGGCACCTCGTTCCTCGGCGGAGCCGAAGAGGCTCCCAGGAAAGCTCCAAGACGGCTTCCGGGCGATCCACGAAGGCTCCAGAAACCATAGCAACGGCACAGGGAAGCCGCAGGACGGTCCCAAGAGGGCTCCAAAACGGGCCAAGAGGGCTCCCAAAGGCTGTGCGGACGGCCCACGCGGGAGACGATTCGGTCCAAACCGCCTAAGATTGCCTCCAGGCAGCCCCATGGGCGCTCAAGACGCTTGCATACGCGACAACGAGGCGCTCCAAACAGGCCTCTAGAAGCAAAAACCGTCCCATTCCCCAGGGAAAACGTACATTTTCAGCATATTCGCCTCTTGGGCTTCCCCGAGGCCCACAACGGCCCAGTAAACCTCCAAGATCGACCTCTGGCACCCCAAGAAACTCTCCAAAAAGCTCCACGACGGCCTCCGGGCGCCCCACGAAGGCCCCAGAAACCATAGCAACGGCCCGGGGGACCGGCAGGACGGTCCTAAGAGGGCTCCGAAACGTGTCTAGAGGGGCCTCACAGGCTGTCCTGACAGACCACGCGGGGGACGACTGCTGCGCCCCAAGGGGTCGGCGGTGTGGCGTAAGCCAATGAATCAGCTCACGTACTGCGTGGCACTAGGAGGCACTGGGAAAGCCAGCAAAGCTGGCTTTCCCAGTGCCTCCTGTCGCCAGGAAGCGCCCACATATCGAGGAACGGGCCTGGCGGCGGGGCCGAAACCGGCTGCACGCAGCAGATTTCGTACCCCCTCCCCCTTTCCCGATCCCTCCCTTTCGTTCGGCCCGACCCGTCTCAGGGCTCCACCGTCCCTTCTTCTTTCCTTCTCCGCCCCTGCGGGGGAACGCTGCGGTCGGAAACGTTTGCTCAGCGTGTCGCGGCGGCGGCCCCGGCGACACGCCGTCCTTTGCAGGCCATGCCACGTCGCTCCGCTCTGCGAGGCGGGAGGCCCGGAACGGCTCGGGGCGCGGGCGCCCCGGGGCCGCGCAGTGGACGGCGGGTCGCTCCGAAGCCTGGGGGGGCCAGAACTGGCGGAGCGACACTCTCTTCCGGTCGAAGCTGGGCGGGCCGCGCAGAGCTCGAATGACGCAGAGAAGGGGGGGGGGGGAGAAGGGGGGCGCAGCCTCGGAACGAGGCCAGGAGGCGAAGCGGGCGGAGCGACAGGCTACGCCAAAGCGCCCGACCGTCGGGGGAAAGGCTCCTCGGGGGGGGGAAACCGCGAGCGGCCGTCGGCGACACACGACCAATGCATCGGCGAGAGGTCCCTGGGAGCGAAGCCCCACGACCCTGGGCGGGGCGGGCTATCGGGCCCATCGGCGATGAACTGGCGGTTGGGGGTCGGTCGATACGTCCCCCCCTTGAGCAGATCCTCCCCCCCTCTTCCTCCCTGAGATCCGACGCCGCGAGCAAAAACGCAGCACCGTGGAAAGTCACTCTCAGAGACCCGGGCCCCGTCTTTCTGCGGCACGTCTCGAGCTGGATCGATGCGTGAGATTCACGAGGCGCGAGCCCGTGCGGAGGCGCACGGTGCGAGAAGGAGTGCTGGCATCGTGCTGCGCAAGGAACGACGAGCAGGGAGCGAAGGGGCTTCTCTTGCCACGGCGAGCGTCGGCCACGAAGAAATTGCCCGACCTCGATCTGAAGGACGGCTCGAAATCCAAAGCTGTTCCCGAGCACGAAGGGGTCCTTAGTTCAGCGTCTTGGCTGTCCGCGACGCCTGGATTTCAGGGCTGTTTCATCTTAGGTCGGGCATGTCCTCCTACAGGCTGATGTTGGATGAGAAATAAAAGATCATCCAACATCGCTTTGTATTTTTTGAGACAAGAGCACGACAAATCGTCACCATATTGTTTTTGTACTAGTACTGTATAGTTATCCTGTAGAGGGACATGCCCGACGTAAGTCTCGTCCCCGCCGTCCCGGCGGACGGTGTGCCCAGCAGGGCCAGCGCAAGCAGCGCCTTCCAGAGCGCAGCGCCAAACATCATCGACGCGCGGGAGGGGGAAGACAGCTTCACCACCACAGGGCGCAGAAGGACATGCCGG